ATATATATATATATATATATATATATATATATATATATATATATATATATGTAACAATCAGCTTGCGTATACGTTAATATCGCAAGATACTTTGTAATCTGATGTACTAATGAAAAAAAAAATGTTTTTCATTGAGTTCCCGATTTTTTAAGATCAATATTCCAAAATTAGGGGTTGATTAAAAATTCGCCATTCTATTCGTGACCGAGAAAAGGAAACATTCCGTTAGCTTTGAGACACCCAGATATACGAGAGGATGCACCTTTTATCACGCACGTGGAAAGAACAGAGTTGCGATCGATAGATGGAGAGAAAGATGTTCAACGTACCTATGTCCATCAGATGCAGTTCACCGAGATGTCGTGCAGCGTAGAGGCGCAGCAGTCCGAAGGCAAGCTGCATCCCGGTGGTGAGCAACAGGGCGAGGAAACCGGCGGCGCACACAAGCCAGCCCCATCCGCCCTCAGGATAGAAGTGCGCTCGCATACCGGCGACGTCTATGCCTGACAGAGAGAAGATTATCCTTTCTCACAATACAGAGCTAAGTCGCACTATCGTATCTCGATGCCGCCGATAATCGAATATCTCGTGCGGATTTTTAGTATCTCGCTGTCTGCTCGCGCACGAGAGTCTTCACGCACGAGCGGAGACTTGTAAGAGTAAAATAGGTCACTCTGATCGATGTGTCTCGATTCAAATCCCTTTTTAAGAGTTTCAACTGTATCCTTTGTGCGGGAGCCACTCGGCAACTACCGCGTTAAAGTAATTTACGCGATTATTTTTCTCTGACAAATGCGTTATTCGATAAATTTATGATAAATTTATGAACCTTTTTAGCAGTGATTTGAAGCGACTGCGCGCGATTTTCACTAGGAAATTTTTTTTTTAATAAACATATTCCTAGATTTTTTCCTCTTTGTTGTTATCTTCTTTGAGGAATTGTGAAAAGTAGAATACACGATATACTTAACTAGTATTTGTTAAGAGTTAAAAAAGAATATACAATAGTTTCAGTGGATCGGAAGGAATTTAATATTTCATCGCGCAACTTCTCCGAGCATACCACTATTCAAGAGGTTAAAGTAATATTGCAGAGAGGAAGCACGTAGTAAAGAATAACAATTTGACGAGACGATTCGAACCTTCTTGTAAATTATTATTATTATTGTTATTATTATTATGGTTGCTCTATACACCGAATATTCAAGCTACTATGGTTATATGCATGGTATGTATATTCAAATGCGAAATTTCACGCTAAGAGTGAAGAAAAATATTATACCTGTGCGACGAAGTGCAGGCACGCAACGATGCAAACTGCGTAGGTCGCCCAGAACCCAGTTTGTGTTGCCGCCCATGCTCTCGTCGGCGTCCATGTAGCGCAGACGAGTATCTGGAAAAACAAAGAACAAACCACGAAGAAACCGTAATTAACCGTAAGATGCTTTTCACGGTTGCTTAAATTATTCTGCAATTTTTGCGCGCGGGATTCAGCAACTTGAGAGAGGATACATCGAAGAAGCGCGGAAATGGTTCTTATTAAACGTCCTCGCCGCGATTGCGAAGGATATTCCAACATCTAGCTTTGAAACGCTTAATTCTCGAAATACTCCCTCTTGTGGACGTATCAAATTTTGCTCCACGATGGCCGGGTATTCGCATCGTCGTCGTCGTCGTCGTCGACGTCGACGTCGACGACGGCGACGACGACGACCCGTTGCGGTTGGCAACGGCGTTTGCATGAGACAGGGTGCGAGATGGGCAAGAAACGGCTTGAAAGAAACTGCGTGGAGGAAGGAAGGGAAGAAGGAAGCGGGGGCGGGGGTTTAGGTAAATGCACTTTTGAAAGGGCGAAGGTGGCTCGCGTTGGAAAGTAACGGCCGGGACGTCGAGTCAAAGGACAAGCGCGAAGGAAAGGGTTGATGATTGTCGGCGAACAGAAGCGAGTCCCCCGAGTCGAAATTTTAGCCCTGCTTTCGACCAGAGTTTTCTAATATTTGTATATTCTGAAGAAGATCAGCATATGTTTAACACACACAAAGTCCCACTTAGTCTTCAAAGTGGCAGAAAACGCGCAAAATGCCACTTGCAGATTCTAAAGGGAACCTCTCGGCAAAATTAGTGGGTCGAAAGTAATCAAAATTTGGTATGGGTTGATATGGGTTTCAAAGTGGGCGTTAAAAGGAATATTAAAGTCGAAAATAGAATCAGAATTTCGACTCGCGCAAGAATCACCGATTCGGACTCATTCTCGTTCGCTTTTACGCTCGCGGTAAAATGGTGGCCAACTAAATTATGGGCTACGCGTGCGACTGTCATCGCCAGCGGCATCGCGCAAAGTATAAACTTTTCCATTAACAGCGTTAAATGTTAACAACCCATGGGTTTCGTCATATGCGTGTCCCGCCCTGGCAAAAATCGAGTTTCGAGTGCAACGGTTATCGTCATTCAAAATTGATGCGCAAGTCTTCACACTGAGAAAAACCTTTCGGTTGTCAGAACGAGAGCACGTTTGCTGTTCCACGATCGTTAGAGAACCAAATGGAACAGTTACCCTTGGCAAAGCATTGAGACACAAACGAAATATACCGAGATACAAATCACATTTGTTCTCGTCTATTTAGGTGGAGTTAGTTACGTTTCCATCACAGTTGTTTGGAGCAACGACGTGAATGTAACGAACCATTTGTTACGAGTACTGGTATTTCGTTAAATTAGCAAAACTTTTTCTCCCAATGTATTGTCGTCGGGGAATTTTGGTCCGCGCTCTCATCTCGAATTTTCGGTTCTCCTCGAGAACGACAGTCCACGGGAATCGAGCTCTTCTGCGATATTTCCGCGTCGTTCGTTGTTTTCTCTGGCGACTAATTTTTCGTCGGCAACGTACCATGAATTATTTGCGAGCGAAACGCGCGCACGAGGCGCGATCAGGGTTGCAGCATTCGCGAATCGTATCGAGGCATCGCGTTTTCTAATTTATTCGCGAGTGACCCTTTCGTATTACGCGACAGTCCAGGGCACTGTGCGCGCGTACACACAGTCGTACGTTACCGTGTGCTGTTGCGTTGGTGCAAGCAAAATTGCATTTGCCGATGTAATTTAATCCCCACGACCTCCACGACATGCCCGTAAGTGGATAAGTTCCTACGCGAGCTCTGTTGCTCATTAACGTTCGGCGCGTAAAACCGTTTAGGGAAGATTATTTGTATGTCCCCGTCGTCGTCGTCGTCGTCGTCGTCGTCGTCGTCGTCGTCGTCGTCGTCGTCATCATCCTCTTCCTCTTCATTCTCGTCCTTGTCGTCGTCGTCGTCGTCGTCATCGCTGTCGCCGTCGATAACGAGAGGCGCCGCGCGTCTGCTTTCGGGTAGGCGAATTAGCAGCGGGGACAAAATATACTTAATTAACCGAAATAACGAGAACGAGGAATGAAAGAAGCGCGCATAGCGAGAGAAGACCGCGCGTTCATCCTGTCGGGAACGGGCTCCAACGCGGTGGGAACGAAAAAAGACGGACGCGAGGTATTTTGCCGAAAATGACGTGAGACGTAGAAATTGTCCTGGAATGGTACTCGGCGGCAACGAGGGGGAGGGGGGAAGAGGAGAGACGAAATTGCCGCGGGACGAGTTACGAGCGTGCCCTCAGGACGCCGGAAGAACTACGGCACGTTCGTGTCTCCACGGTGAACGTGTCGCGTCCTTAACGGAATCACGGTCGCGTTTCCACGGGGAGTGATCCAAACGACCATATAAAATCTCACGTCGAACACGTCGGAAATGCACATGAAACGTGCGAGAGGCGCACGGACGCGCAAGGATCTTTGATGTGAGTAACGAGATTCGCGAATACTCTCGATTTCGAGTACTTTCATTTCCGGAGATCTTCGACGTTTCTCCATCGCGCTTTGAGAATCTTCACTTTGTCAGCATCATCGTATATGCGGCATATTTCTCTCTCTTTCTTTGCCTCATAGCAAAAGATTAATTGATCAAATTTTCTCTCGTTATTCCTCTCGACTTCTCTCTCTTCCTTTTTCTTCTCTCTTAGGTCATTTGCTTAACGTTACATATCTGAGAAAATAAAGCGCGTATCGGTTATCTCGTGTATTCTTATCGTTTGTGTTCATCGATAGAATAGGTAAAGGAATATCGAACTCTTTCTCGTTGCTCATTACGATAGTCGCGCAGCGGCGGGTTTCTTCGAACAAAAGGAGCAAGGTACAGGTACGATTCCAATTCCGCCGCCGCCGCCGCCGCCGCGTCGCTCGGATTCGCCTCTGTCGTCTGCGAGGATTGAAAAACCGACGGTCGACCTACATTTTTGATAGACACAATGATACACCAAGCTCGAAATTTCAAGGTACCCTCTCTCTTTTAGGAGCTTTCCCGTTAAGTGGGATTGATTCTTATTCTATCCCTCGTAACCTTTTCATCTCGTCCTACTTTTTCGCGGCCTTCATCTGTTGTATACATCGTAGAAAAGACTATATACCCGAGCAGCAGCTTTCATTGCGAATCTTGTATACTATTTCGCGTATGGGGCGTTCCGCGAGGTCGATGTACACTTTATGCATGAATGTAGTCGCTCTCTAAATTTCTTAAAGTGAAATCTTTAACTTAAAAAGTAGAGGTGAGTCACTCGAACTTGAGTGATTTTTCACTCGCACAGAATGAATCCTCCACTCTGAATCGTCGAGTGAATATTTTCACTCGGAATTGAGAAGTAAAGCTGACTTCATATAAACATGTTCATTCTAATTAATTGAAGCATTTGCTCAAACGGACTCGGAATCCACTCAAGCCTCAGTGAAACATTCGCTCTTACGACTTGGAGCGGCAATATTTTCACTGTCACAGAGTGAAAATACTGTTACTTTTCGCTCGTTTTCAATGAGATTCCACTCCAAGACATTTTAGTGAGTAAGCGCAAAGAAAATCAAAACCAAACGGTTTACTAAAGCCATCTCAGACGCTTTCCGTGCGGGTTAATTTGCGACGAGGCGCGTCTTTTAAAGACACCTTACGAAGGCAAGGCTCGTGCTGCAATTTCTGTTATTATCTCGTAGCAAATTTCCACGGCAAATTAGGCGCACCCAGCGCGACGGTATTACCTTAAACCCGTGCCGGACACGCCGCGTTTTAATTTCAATTAATTTGGATTAATTCAGCTCGTTCAATTATAACCCGTTTAATTAAACGTCCACATATCAGTACAAGTTTAGCATAACCCTTTACAAATGAAATCGCTTCTGTATCTCGCGACTTTGTATTACATTAATACGTGCGCAGGAAGAGAGAGAGAGAGAGAGAGAGAGAGAGAGAGAGAGAGGGAGAGAGAGAGAGAAGGAAAGAGAGTAGGTCAGAGTTACCCATTCGGCTACCAAACTTTCGAGCACGTGCGAATAAATGATGCAGACGCGGCATGTCAGTGATGCGATGGCGCAAGATATATTCCATTGAGCGAGACTTCCTCGGAAGGAGGAAAAAAAGGAATTACATAGAGAGGGCGGTAATCCGTTAATTACTCGATTGATTTAAATATGCATGATACTCGAACGGTGCATCCAACGTTTAATAGTAAAGTTACGAAAGCCAGGAAACGCAGACGGTGCATAACGCTTCCTCGCGCGTTGCAGTCCCATATCAAGGATGTAGTTGACGCTATTCGGCGCGCGTTTGTACTAACTGAAAAGTAAACTCACCGCCGTGATACGAACTCCCACGATGCGGCGTATACGTGCCATTCTGACCCTCTATACAATGAGTCGGCGTGTAGTATTGCATAGGGTGTTGCATGTAATTATTGGGGGTGCTGGGGACATGTACCGGATGACAATGTATGCATCTTCGCGGTGTCTCGGGCGGAGCCTGCAAGCAAGATAAATTTTCATTGCTCTGGTGAAGGAGAGAGAAAGGAAGAGAGAGGGAGAGAGACAAGGGCAGGAAACACGATGTAGCGAATTCGTGCAGACAATCACCCGTGCTCATTATTATTGCCGCGAAATATTGCTCCGCGCTGACGTTGCCACGTAATATTGCGCGAAGCTTGGTTGTCATCAGGCGTTAATATAATTTGCTCGGGTACCATGTGTATAAAGCAGACGTTTCAAGACTTGGGGAATATTTTTCTAAAAGATTCATCAAGTCTAAAAAGTTGTTACACTTTACACGGAAAAAAAGAGAAACGTTTAGTTGCATTAACCAAATCTTTGTGTGTGTGTGTGTGTGTGTGTGTGTGTGTGAAATATAAACGAACCAGAAAATTCCGGTTAGAGTTGCCAGAATTCCGTTCGAGCTAACCAGAAATCTTGTTATCTCGGACAGAATTCCGGCAACCTCAAGCGAAATTTCTGCTTCGTTCAATATATTTCACCAGAAAGAGTGCGGCCAGGATGTTCTCCCAATCCACTTAGGAAAATAAGGGGTTGAAATAGGTACCGAATGAAAGATCTCGTTGAGCTGGAAACAAATGTGTAAGTTTCATTTTGCAATTTTCCGTTCCAAAATTATAGGGTTCCAAATTCAAATTAATTAAGAAAAATATGAAAAGGTCTCGGTTAACATTAATTCTACCGTACTTGCGAGGGCAATCGTGCTGTCTGCCACCTCGATGAACAATATATAAAATATTGATATATGAATTCACGCGCATTAGCCCGATTGTATCGCGAGGCGACGATAGGACTGAACCGGTATCATTCGCTCACCTGCATGGAATGTTGCGAGCGCAACGATCTTATCGAGCCGGTCGGGTGCAACGACGGTACGCTGCCCCCGAAGCTCATGGCTGAGTTTCTGCATCCTCCCGGGGTGGACCAACCCCCGCGCACGCTAGTCGTAGTCCACCCCATTCCGCTGCCGCAGTCATCCACCAGCATCTTCCTCAGAGCGGGACGCGCCGCATTTTACGCTTCGGGCCTCGTCGATGTCAACGATCGCCTCGATCCGACGCGCCGACTACTCTCCGACTTATTCACGTCACGCTGCGCGCACGTCCCCAAGTACGACGCGCGAGAATGAAATTACATCTTTCTTGTTTGGGGGGGGGAGGGGGTTGTCGCGGCTAAATTCGCCTCGGCCCACTGACTCGATTCGACCGGACGACGTTAGACGAGTCTCGCCGTCCAGCCCTCGACACGCTCCGTCGAAGATGCGCTCGGAATTTCGAGGATGCTCCCCATCGCGATCTGCAAGCAAACACACCGACTTGTATAATTCAAGCTGTCTGATCTTGTCGTTTCTTCTCGGCTTTTTTCCCGCCGTTGCAACTGAAAGCGCGTAAATGGTTGTTCGAGCAATACGCTTCGCGACAAGCACGTGGTATCGTACTTGAGTGAAGTGTGCGACGTTTTTACGAGCAAAAGGTGAGAATTTTATCGTTTGATTAGCAATCGCGTGCAACGCATAAATGATGCACGCCCGCGTCGCATTAGCTATGCTGCACCAACAACACTTAATTAATTATGTGCTCGAAATTAATTATAGATCCCGCGAGTGAAATTGTGAAATAAGCACCTGGACGTGACCGCCGTTAAAACGGGTCGTAATAACTTTTGTATTGCATAGCTAATGGAGACCATTAAAGCGTCATTAAATTTAATAGTCACGATATCACACGACAAAACATACGAAAAACAAGCTGCCACACTAACGAATGCGATGCATTAAATATCAAGGCGCGTGCGTATTGCTCGGGTCAGGATTTATTCGAATCAGTCCGATTTATATGTCGGGGTATGTGTAGCGCGAATGTTTTATGTATGTACTCATCTCTGTGAGAGAAGAGTCGACGAGGATAAAATTGATATCGGACGCGTATCAGCCGTGTACGCGCAAGTTATTTTGCTTAGAGTTATTGGCATATACGCCGAAAACATATTTCATCTCGCCGCTCGAATCCAATTAATTCCCCGACCGTTTTGCAATTTTGGCTAACGACAACGCGCCCGCGAAAGTCCCTTTTTTCTCTAATGTCAGAAGTGACGCGTCTGATTGGTGAGACGCGCGATCGCAATGCCTCGAGACAGAGGTGTCTTTCATCGAAATCACCAAGCTTTGTCAAGAGGATGCTTTTGATAAAGTGAAAAATTGCATCAGTAAAAGGACTGTTTCGCCGAAAACCAGTGAATACGTATTGATTTTCAGCGAAAACATTTCCATTTCACCGCTTCGTCTTATATCTCACTGATCTTCACCAGTGGAGCTAACATTTCACTGCAATTTCGCAATTTTTGCAAAATTCTTCCGCGTTCTTTTCGTTTTGGATTAACAAAATTTCTGTTGGAATATGAACGAAAATTCTGGTTGATTGACACCAGAGTTCCAAAAATCCAAAAGTTAATCAGATATCTTAGCTGCAACATGTTAGCTTAAATTCTGGTAATATCAATCAAAATTTTCTGATTCTCGTTCGTATTTCACCAGAAATTTGGTTACTGCCACTCAACATTTTTTACGTGCCCTTTTCAATTGCTAAAAAATCTCAAATCTCAGTTGACATTATTTCTACCGTTCACGATGGAATGAACTGCTCCCACGCAATTTACGTGCAAACACACTGTGTCTGTATTTACAAGCTGCATCAATATTGGGAACAGTCGCTACTGTTGACTGATTCTTTCAGTCAGGAACTGACTGCAGAAACTAAACCATTAGTCGTAAGTATAGTATTTCAGTGAAGAGAAGAATATAAATTGTACTTTAGGGAGCGGAGATCGATGCGACTGGACATTTTGAACGTGGAAATGATGTCGCAATTAAAATTCAGGAAATGCGATTGAGAGAGAGAAATATCAAAGCTGTGTGTGTTCGCCGAAATTCCGCGAAATTCCGTCATGCGAGCGTGCGCCCGCTCGAAAGTTCAACCTGCGAGGAAGAACATTGTCGATCGGTCGAGAGGATTAAAATCTTCTCCATATACGCGCTTCCAATTTCGGCCCGGTAATACGGCGCTGCATTGATATTCACGCGTCGTTCCGCAAGCTCGCGTCGCCTGTTTTTGAAATGTCGGCGACGATTTTATGCATGCACAGTGCAATAACAGTGTCACGCGGTGCCCTCGTTAATTATAATATCGTCCGCAATCTGGCGCACCGCCGTTCTCGTATTTAACGAGTGTCATTACGACGTACGAGTTGTTACTTTTTGCGCTGCCTTACGTACATCTCGCTGTCCGTAAATGGAGTAATTTCTGTCCCGCGACTACCTCGTGCATTGATAATAAATGATATGGCCTCTAGTCTCGGTGTGTTAAACTACACGGAGAGAACTGTTATGGTTGCTACATTCTTTGATTAGACAGAAAGTTTATGTGATTTCAAGTTGAATAGATGTGGTACTAAAAATTGCTGTTGTCATACGTCCATCTATATAGTTTTCTCAGCCACAATTCTTGTAATACTTAATGTTCAGTTAATACATTCTCATATATATGGTTGTCTCAACCGAAGGAATATTGTTATCTTTCTGTTGTAATATGCAGAACAAATTCTATGACTGAGAGATCCGTAGGGTTTGGTCACGCTAGAGTTCTTCCAGTCAGAGTTAGGACAAAGCATGACGTATCCTGATTGAGCTGCACTCTCACCGCCGTTTTCAAGGGTGACGTGAGTGAGAGAGAAGTTTTAAGACGAAATACTCTCTCACTCACTCACTCATTCGTTCACTTCCTCCCTACAAATGACGGACGATGTTCTAATTCTGACTTCAGGAATTCTAGGTTACGCCACTAAGAGTACCGCTCAAACACACATGGACAGGTAGCAAAGGAGGCTAATGTACCACTGCCAGAGACCAGAATGGTCTGTAGAACAAATACTATGGTTGAGAGATTCGTAGAGTTTGGTTGCACCATACGACACTGAGAATGCTGCTCAAATACATATGGATGGGCACTAAAGAAGGTTAATGTATCACCTCGAGAATACTGTAAGTAATGTCTTGAGCGAAAAATAGCATTAATATTTTGTTATAGCAACTATATTTAGATAAAGGTGTTCTTTTTTCCGTGTACCCTTACGCTACCCGTGCCTCGCACGGTTCTGGTTGGTGTTGCAATTTTTATCCCCGGGATTTACGTGTTCAGGCGCTGATCCTTCGGCTCGCAAGTTCCTGTTGCGGCGAACCATGAGTATCGTAACCGCACACGGCGGTACAGTGAAGTCTCGAGTGGCAAGAATAACAGCGGCAAAAACAAAGGACAGATTTGTATTCGCCAGCGTATCTCCGCGAACGTCGTCGCGGTAAACGGGAGCATTTTCGCGACGCGGCCCTAAGAACGACGCGTGATCCTCGTAAATCCTGCCGCGGGGTGCTTTTTAATCTGCTCGACTAAACGGATGGAGCTCGGGAAACGCGCGGCAACAACCGACGTTTGCTCGTTCGCAGTGCCTGCGAAAAAGTCGCGCGCGCGCGCGCGCGCGCGGCCATCAAGTGTCCCTGATAACTCATGAAACTGCACTTTTCGACGTAATCTTTCAAGTGTTTTCTCGTCCCTCGTGATCCGGAGTGATTTTTAAGCGCTACGGTACATACGTATGTACGTCCATACGCGCGCAACATTTTTCACAAACTAATTTTGCATTTCTCCCGCGAATCGCCGCGAGTCACTCTCCAGCGAACAAACGCGAAGAGTCAGAAGCGTTATTACGTGCAGCGTTATTTTTAACGTTAAAACGACTTCATTACACGACAAGCGCGCGATCCCTCCCGGAAGGAATATAATTCTGCTCGAGTCAAACATAAATCGAATTGATATATTGATATATTGATATATTGATTTCTACTAAACGAGTGAACTCCAAATAGCTTTCAGAGCGGAGCCCTATCGCCGTATAAACTGTATTTCAGACTTCCGCTACATTTCCGTCGCGATCGATAGTTATTGTATATTTGTTGTTGTTATACGCGCTACAAATATGGAACGCGCGTGCGTGCGTTGCGAGCCGACCTATTTTATTATCTCTCAATGCCGCGTTAAATCTGCAATATGCAACGTGCGAAAAAAAGAATTTCTCTTCTCTGCACACGTGACTCCAAACCGATAATTAATTCTCCTGCCGCCGCTCATTATTCGCTCGATTCTGCATTATTGTACCGAATGGAAATCGCGTTCTTTGTTTGACGCCGCGAATTCCCGAGAAGGTTAATATCGCGCATAGTTTCGTGCAGAAACCCAATCAACGAGTGCGAAAAGACGAATGAACGTCCATTCTGCCGCAATGGCGTAGTGAATAAAACGCTTGGGACACGTGAGAAATCGTTACAGCAGGCCGCAATAATTATTAACGCACACACACATGCGCGCGAAGCAACAGTGACCGAGCCCTCATTACAACGATATATTTAAAGATTTGTCCGCTGCGCGAATCGAATCTTTTCCATTAATACATCTATTAATACATTAATATATTAATAGATATATTGTGCGTACAGGCGGGCTAATATTGAATAACATTGTAATTAGTGGCAAATGAGCACGTGCAAAAGCGTGTCGAGAAACAGATTTCCAAACAAATATTGCGTCCGCTGTATATAATTACTGTTTGTGTACGCAATCACGAAATTAACCGGGTATGTGCCATCGCTTTATCGCTACGAGTCTGTGCTCGTAGCTGCCTTGCTTTTGTCAGGTTCTTCCATGCGTGCAACGATTACAATCGCGCGTACGTTAAGTGCACACGTAAACGCTGTAGGACCCCCCTTCCACCCCTGCCCGTCGGCGTATATCGTCGAGAAACGACAAACACCGTTTGCATGCCCGTGGAAACATCCACGTCGCTGAGGATACTCGGATCACCAACGCTATCTCGGTCAATGATTCATCCGCCGATTATTGTCGATAATTTAACAGCGTATTACCGCGTACTGTCGCTGGAAATTATTACCTAATATCCGGAATCGACGTGTTAATCTTTCGTCCACGTCGGAGACGAGATCGAGAGAGGGAGAGAGGAGAAAGCGTTTGGTACAGCGAGAGTTCTCTAAAGACGACATGACCAAAAACATATAAATCAAAGATTCTTACAATATGAATAATTAATCAAGTATTTATGATGAAAAAAGTCGAACTATATAATTGAAACATATGTATAATAAAAAGTAAAATGTCCTGAAAAATAAAGTATGCATTCTGAATTTTAAGTCAAAATAATTTATGGTGATATGTTAAAAGCGTTAACTTATTCAC